GCATGGGTGTGCATGCATGTGTGTGAGAGTGGGGTCTACATGGGTGTGCGCATGTGTGTGAGAGTGGGGTGTACATGTGTGTGCATGGGTGTGTGCATGGGTGTGCATGTGTGTGTGAGTGGGGTCTACGTGTGTGTGCATGGGTGTGCATGCATGCGTGTGAGAGTGGGGTCTACATGGGTGTGCACATGTATGTGCATGCATGTGTGTGTATGTGTGTGAGAGTGGGGTGTACATGTGTGTGCATGGGTGTGTGCATGGGTGTGCATGTGTGTGAGTGGGGTCTACGTGTGTGTGCATGGGTGTGCGCATGGGTGTGCATGCATGCATGTGAGAGTGGGGTCTACATGGGTGTGCTCATATGTGTGCATTCATGTGTGTGTATGTGTGTGAGTGGGGTGTACATGTGTGTGTGCATGAGTGGGTGTGCATATGGGAGGGTGTGCGTGTGTGTGGCAGAGGCCTAGGGCTGTGTTGGTGGTGGTGAGGTTAAGAGGTGCCTGGAAGAGGAGCCCATCATCCAGAAGCAATGACCGCAGTGCTCGAGGAACTGGCCAGCACTCCTCCACTTACTGACCTGACAGACTGTGAAAGAGGCAAAGTCCCATCCTGGCTCTCTGATGGGGACGGTCATGCTGAGCCTTGTTCGGGTTTAGGAGGGAGCCTGGAAGTGAGGAGGGCCGGCAGAAACTGCCACAGACAGTATTTCTCCCGGAAAACACGACTTCGAAGAAATGACCTTATTTATCAGTGAAGGCCCTTGAAGAGAATCCCATGGATTGACAAAAGATGCCCGGCTCGGCCAACCCCAGACTATTGCCCCGACGAAGTACAGCATGGCTGCCAACATGACAAGAACGTGGCCACGTCAAATCACACGCAAATGCACACGAAACCGCATGCCGCCTTGCAAACGTTCAACAGGACAGAAACCAGAAGAGCTTCCTGGAAAAGATGTAAATATTTTAACGTTCTGCCTGTTTCTCCTCTTGTTTGCATTCATAATTTAAACAAATCTTGATTTACATTTTTCTGTTTCCACCCAGGAAAACAGAGATCAGATATTATGCCAAGGACGTGGTGGCATTGTTTGAGGGTGAAGCCCCGGGCAGGGATGCGGTTGCTCCCACTGTGTGTGCCTCTGTGTCACCTGCCTCCTTCCTCCCTGGGGGCCACCCCGGCCCCCGGCCCCCAGCCCCCGGCCCCCAGGGCGAGCCAGACACCACAGCGAGCCCAGCCGGGCCGAGAGGAAGCTGGCGCATGTCTGTCCAGGTCACTCCAGGGAGAGAGGAGCTGCGTGAGACGGCGCCCAGCTGGCCCTCCCCCGTGGGTAAACTGAGGCTGGGTGATTGGGAAATAGCACGTGGAACCAAACACAAGACGTCCTGAGTCCTGAGTGCTTTGTCTGTCATCCCATTGTGCTCGCCAGGGCTCTCTCTGCAGAGCATCCGCACCGACAGGACGGATTTGGGAGGGAGAAGAGCTTTGTCACAAGGTGCAGAGGGTTTCAGAGGCTGCTGAGGGCCGCCGGCCTGGGGGACACTGGGCAGGGCCGAAGGTGCAGCTCTAGTCTGAAGGCGGTCTGCTGGAGAATCCCCCTTGCTCGGGGAGGCTGCTCGGTTCCTCCAACCCTGCCTCCCCCTGACTGGGGAGAACCCTGCTTTGTGGAAAGCCATCTGCTTTACCCAGAGGCCTCTGACTTGTGTTAATCTCCCCCAGAAACACCCTCTGAGTTGACGCATAGAGTCATCGCGGGGCGGCCACCCCAGCCCGTGATTGCCTTGACTCTCCTCC